AAAAAAAAACGCCCCCTGTAGGCATTTCACACTTTAATCTTCATAGAAGCTGCTGAGTGTAAAAATAAAAGAACGCAGTAGTAACTCTGAGAGACTATCAAAATAAAAGCTGATTTAGGAGCCGTGTGGTTCTACAGTGATGAAATGAACTCTGACAGTGTTCATTAATGTAGTCAAATTACTGTGAGTCAAATTTATGCTTTTTGAGTCAGAAAATGCATAAAGATGACTGCGGTCATAAGGTTCTTGGTAGCTACTGTTAAACCACTGTGCCTCTCATGTAGACAGTTACATCATTTTTTTCAGAGCCATAACTAACTACAAAAATGTTTCCTGAGGCAGTTCTAGTATGAGAAGAAATCCTTTCAGTGGGGGGTTGTTGTTTGCTGGATATGGGGGGAAAAAGCTCCTGAATAAAGGCATTTCTTGATAATGTTTTTTTTTTGTAAAGATAAAGGACAGATAAAGAAAAAAAGAAAATCTGTGCTTTCTGAAAGCCATATTCACCATCTACTGTATACTTAGGCAGCATAGCAGTAACATGATGCGCCACGCAGCCAGAATGATGCTTTAAAGGTCAAAGGTCACAGTGGGGTGGTAATTCTGAGACTATAGATGAAACATGTCAAAGGAATTCTTGGGACAACAACGGAGAGGCTACATGGAATTGGTTTCAAGCAGAAAAATGTTGTTATGAGTTGAAGATTTCAGAGTGCGGTGTAAAGATATTCCATTTTTATTGGAACAGCTTGTGCGTCGAGTTTAAACAACCAGAGAAACCACAAACCTTCTCGAAATTCCAGATCATCAGATGGACAATATTTAAGGTGGAATATACAAATGTCCTCTTCATGACTCTGTAACACTGTCCCATAGTCCTTGTAGATATATTTCTCATACAGCATGTATTTTTAACTCTGAAAAGAGGCGATCTGTCTTTCTGTCTGTGTATGCTCCGGTTGTTTTTGTGTACAACTCTTAAATGAGACTACCTGTAAAAAAGGGGGATTTAATAATAGAGAGGAGGTGATAGCAGACGTAATACACATTGGTATGCATACAGGGATGAATTTCTGAACACACACACAAACACTTAGCTCTAAGCTCGTGCCAAATGTTCAGCATCCTCCTAGAGACCTCCTATTGTGCAGGGAAAATGCACCCATGCAACTCCTGTGTATTATGTATATGCGCATCTATGTGTTTCTATGGCTACACTGGTGACCTTGACTGAAGGATGTAATGCATATCACATAACCAATGCTTTCTACGTCTTAATGTAACCCCTCGTGTGTTTACGCGTCTTCTTCTGTCTGGTCTTCCTTCACACATCACACATTACTCGCTCGCTTGGACTCTGCAGAAAGCTGAGGAGCATGTGTTCAAGCGCAGCAAATAACTCTCCTTTGGTTCTCATTATCTCTCA